GCAGGAGCACCAACTCTTCATCCGATCCAAGACGAAGGACAACGTGTTTGTGAACATCCGGCTGACGGTGCACGTGCAGGTGATCCCTGGCCGGGAGGATGCCGCCTTTTATGGCGTGGAGGCCCCGCTGGATGTCATCAAGAGCTACGTGGAGAACTCCGTGGAGGCGAAGATTCCGCTGTACAACCTGGACGCGCTCTTCGTTGAGCGCGGCACCATCTCGCAGCAGCTGAAGAGCGAGACGGACGCCGTCATTGAGGGCTACGGCTGGGACATTGTCTCCGCGCTCATCACGGAGATTGACCCTGGACGCGCCATCACGGAGGCTATCAACAGCATTCAGAAGAACCAGCGGCTACGCGTGGCCGCCGTGGATGAGGCAGAGACAAAGAAGATGCAGCGCGTCCGGGCGGCAGAGGCGGCCTGTGAGTCGCGGCGGCTGGCGGGGATGGGGCTGGCGGAGCAGCGGAAGGCCATCGTGGCGGGTCTGCGGAAGTCCGTTGCGGAGATGCGGCAGGACGTGCCCGGACTGAACAACGAGGACGTGCTCAATCTGCTCATGATCAACCAGTACTACGACACCATGAAGAGCGTGACGGAGAACAGCAGGGGCAGCCTCCTCTTCATCGAGGGGGCGAGTGGGCTGCAGTCCTTCTCGAAGGAGCTGCGAAGCGGCATGGCGCAGACAATGCGATGATGTGAAAAGAAAAAAAAACGGCACAAACATAAGAGACTGGCGCGCAGGTCTTTCCATATTGTGTCGGCACCGCTTTACTTCTTTTTGTGTCTTTTCTGCCTGTGTACCATCCGGCGCCTGCTGCCGCGCCCCAGCACAACCCATCGACGGCAGCTGCGACGACGAAGGCGATCGGCTGAGTGTGTAAGTTCGTGTGTGTGGGGAGAGGGGGAGGGAGGGGCATATTCGGGCCGGTGCGGCACTCTTTCTTTTCTTCGTTTGTTGTCTTTTCCTCCGCTTCTTCTATTTGGTTTTGCCAGCAACTGGTATGTGTTTTTCCCCCAACGCACGTTCCCTCCCGCCTGCGCCCCTTCTTCTCCTGTCTTCCGCTCGGACGCTGAATTGCGGCAAGGGGAGGGTGGCAATGCACAGAACAGACCTGGCCGATCATGGGGCCGTCTGCTCTCTCTCTCGCTCTGTGGGCGTGTTTGTGGCGCTCACGGGGCGCTGTGCACAGCGGGGTGAAGAAAGATGGTGGCGGGGTTCTCTCTGCATCCGCACGGCGTGACGCTTCACATGGCGACCCCGCACCACGAAGACTTGATGCGTGTCTGCGTGGCACTACGCGGCGGAGGAGGATGTCTCCGCCGCACTTTTGTCGGCCGCCATCCACCGGTGCGCCAGGGAGATGCGCCAAGTCGACTGCGGCCGTGTCTTGTGCTGCCGCTGCCCCGCGGTGGGTCCGCCACACGGCAGGCACGCGTCTTGTCGTGCGAGTTGCCTTGCTTTGAGCGCGGCGCCGTGTGGCTTGCTGCAACGCCGGGGAGGGGCGGCCATTCATGTTTGTCTGGGGGTGGCGTCAGTGGCGTATGCGGTTCAGCTCTCGACACGAACAGAGGATGCTGCGACGTGTGCACCTCAGCAGGTGGGGGGCCTAATGGCACGCGAGCGGGTTGTTGTTGCTGCTGCGATGAGTGGTGCGTGTGCTGGCCAATGGAACGAATGATGCTGCAGGGGCGGATCCTCCGATGTGTGCATGCGCATGCGCATTTTCTTTTTTTGCTGCCCCTCCCCTGCGCCTGAAACAAGAGCTTTACACGACTTTGGGTG